ACATAATGAAACTACTATCACTACTACCCAGATTAGATTTCAGATTTATCAACTGAAACATCATCAAGTTTAGGGTTGCAAAAAATGATACATGATAAGATGAAGGGAGGAGTGAGAATGTGAGTGATTTGGGAGCAGAATCTTGAAGCAGAATCTTGAAGCAGCAGCCCAGCACCCAAGAGCAGAGGAAATAGCAGCAACAAGCAGGAACCAGCACACGCAATAACAGATCAGCAACTTATCCGAAGCAAGGGACTCAGCAGGAACTTATTTTTGTTTTTCAAAATTGCTCTCAGATTTACGTTTATCGTATCATCACTGAGCAATGGCTGTTTTAACTTAAAACTTGAAAAATGCTGCCAGCAAGTACATATACATTGAAGTCTCAACATAAATGACAAGGGCAACGATGATTCAAGAAAAATTAAAACAACAAGCATAAGAAACAACAGCAACAAAACTTATCATAAATTCATAACACAAAAGGCAGCAACACAACACCTCAAGCTGGCAGGAGGCAGGAACCAGCTCATGCAGGCAACAATATAGGCAATAACAACTCAGCAGAGACAACAACCAAAAGGCAAAAGCACTACCAGCAGGCAGCAGCTCATAACAAGTTCAAGCAACTTCAAAATTATAGCTTTTGTTTTCTAAAATTGCTCTCAGATTTACATCACCAAGCAATGGTTATTTTAACAAAAACTTAAGAAATGCTGCCAGCAAGTCTGAAAATAAATGACAAGGGCAACGATTTTAAAAGTCTAGAAAAATGCTGCCAGCAAGTCTGAAAATAAATGACAAGGGCAACGATTTTTCAAGATAAAATAAACCACAATGAGACACAAATACCAGTTATGCAGATGAAGCACTTTCGGCTTCAATCTCTTTACCAATAAGGAGGACGTCTTCCTCAACATCCGCTTGATAACCACGACACCAATTTTGGGTGGTAACCAATGCCTCAACATTCTTTGGCAAAAGTTTACCCCTATATTTGTTCAAAATACGACCACCCAAACTAAAAGAAGATTCAGAGGCCACCGATGTAATAGGAATGGCCAAAACTGTTATCAACATAATGAGCAGTCAAAGTGAGATAGCCTCGGTTAGTACATGCAGTCCACAAGTCACATGTAAAGCTAACTCTACCAGAAACATTAGCCAAAGACTCAAGCAACAAGGATTTATATTTATCATGCTCAGCAATAACATACTTTAACATAGTTTTTCTACAAACATGTTGCACCTTAGGATTCAAATATGCATGAAGTTCCCTAAGATATTCATGCTCTACAATATTTAAAGGATATGCATGGCAGGTTATAGCTTTAGCAAACTTTTGTAAATAAGTTTTTTGATCAAATTGTGATTCGTTACCGGACTGGAGACCATGCTTTTCCAAACATGCATTAATATGAGCTCTACAAGTTGAAGTACCCGCTTTACCAGGTGCTTTATATTCTTTGCCACACAAATTACAACGAGCATAATCTACATTTTCATTACCTATCGTCTTTACAAAAAAAAGTGTAATGCTTCCATATACCTGCGGTTCTTTGACGTTTATTAACAGAAGGATTGATAGTGCCGGTATTACTAGCATCATCAACCGAGACAGAGGCAGCTTGAGAGCTAACAGTATCAAAATTTGATTGCCTCTCATAATCAAATTCATCATACTCGCGAGACATGACTGAAACAAAAAAAAACAGCATTTATAACTTATAAGTACCAAATTAAGTGACAGATTCTACTAATAGTGAGCAATTAAGCATGCATTGTCTCATGTGACTGACACTGAAGTCACGACAGTGAATCCTATTCACTCAATACCAAAATTCAACTAAATAGATAGTTCATATTTCAGAATTTTATTTGCACTAGTCAATGTTTCAAAATTCAGAATTATACAACAAACGTGATTACAACATATATCCTAACAGAATATAGAAAGTTATATACGATACAGTTACATATGTGTACATTTTAAGTACTAACTTTAAGCCAATCATATACAATGCTTGTATTCAAACAATATGGGTTAAAAATATAAAGCTAAAATCCCAATAAATAAACAATGCATGTATTCCAACAATAATAATCACATAATCTGAACAACCCATCATCATTACTTTTAAATCGAGCATAATAAACAACAAAACAGCACAAATCTACCATTTTCCCGTAAAAAACAAAAATACAATCAACAACAGATTTTACTCATTTTAGGCATATTTCGACTATATTCAAGCAAGAACAACAACAATAATCAAATACAAAAACAGAAAAACTGTATTAAAAAAAAAACAAAAAGGAAAAAGTAATTACCTTTGACGGCTTGAAGGAGATTTGAAGATGGAGAACTACCTGAACTGGAGATCAAAAGAAAAAATCAAGAATGTAGATTATCAGAACTTGAAATAAAAAAAAAAACCGAAACGAAAACGAAAAAAATCGAATAAATTAACAAAAAAATTACCTTAGGGTTTGACGGCTTGAAGGAGAGGAAGATTTGAAATCAGAAATCAGAACTTAGATCCAAAACAAAAATGAAACGAAAACAAAAACCCTAAATAAACAAACCGAAACAAAAACGAAAAAAATCAAAACGAAAACAACAAAAATTAACAAAAAAACGAGAATGTAAAGCGAGAAATCAGAAATGTAGATCCAAAACACAAATGAAACGAAAACAAAAACCCTAAATAAACAAACCGGAACAAAAACGAAAAAAATCAAAACGAAAACAATAAAAATTAACAAAAAAACGAGAATGTAAAGCTAGAAATCAGAAATGTAGATCCAAAACACAAATGAAACGAAATTGAGCTTGAGATTCTTGAGAATTTCAGAACGAAAGAGTGAGAAACTGAGAAGTTAGAGAGAGAAACTATGACAGATTGTGAGATTGAGAGAGAAACGGCTGAATGAGTGAATGAGAATGGCTGAGAGAGTGAGAGTGGGTTTTTTACTAGGTTTAGGTTTTACTTCAGTTGATCTAACCGTCCATATTCAATCTCAACATCTAAGTTAGATCTAACCGTTCATTTTTTTTTTGTAGATTCTAGAATATTCATCTAGATCTAACGGTCTAGATTTTCTTTGTGCTTTTCTAGGTCTTTTTGACCGTTTTTTTTAATTATTTATTATTATTATTATTATTATTATTGTTAGTATAATTATTTTTTAATATTATTATTATTACTAGTTTACTACTACTATTATTATAATATTATTATAATAATTATTATTATTATTATTACTATTATTATTATTATTATTATTATTATTATTAGTTTATTACTTATAAGTTATAAATTGTAAGAAACGCAAATGTTTCAAAATTGAAATTGATTCAATACGACATAGTTAATGACTTAGTGAGTTAATGGCTTAATGCTCATCAATATGACAATATCTGACATCTGTGAGTCTGTGATTGTATATCAGTATATATAATAAACTATAAAACTAATAATAACTTAATAAGTAATAATACTAATAACTAATAAAGTAATGAAAATCTAACCATTGTTTTTCATGGGCATTCAATCTAACCGTTGTATATTTGACTATTCGTACATTAGTATTGCATAATGCTTTCATCACCACTTTAATTAGTGATTTCGTGATTTCGTCCATTTAACTTATTAAGTTGTTTGAGTTAGTAATCTAAATAAAGTAACAAACTAAATAACGAATCCATTTAATCTCGTGTAAGTTATAATTTATAAGAAATGCAATGTTTGGAAATGGAAATTGATTCAATACGATATTGTTAATGTATATGTAATTATATTATTATGTATATGATGTATATCATATCGTACGAATGTACGGTTGGTATCATTATCATACTATCATAAGTATCATTGCCTCATTGAATTATTGGTATGTACTATAATCGATAAACATATTTAGTTATTTACATATCTGATCATTAAAACTTAAAAGTTTAAAACACTTGTTGATCAATCTAATTGAATACTTGTACATTCTTAATTATCGATTTATCGTATTATAAGTATTAACTCATTAAATCATGGTCATGATTTCGTGATTTCGTCCATTTAACTTATTAAGTTGTTTGAGTTAGTAATCTAAATAAAGTAACAAACTAAATAACGAATCCATTTAATCTCGTGTAAGTTATAATTTATAAGAAATGCAATGTTTGGAAATGGAAATTGATTCAATACGATATTGTTAATGTATATGTAATTATAGATTAATTATTATGTATATCATATCGTACGAATGTATGATTGGTATCATTATCATACTATCATAAGTATCATTGCCTCATTGAATTATTGGTATGTACTACAAATCTACAATCGATAAACATATTTACATATCTGATTATTAAAACTTAAAAGTTTAAAACACTTGTTGATCAATCTAATTGAATATTTGTACATTCTTAATTATCGATTTATCGTATGATAAGTATCAACTCATTAAATCATGGTCATGACGCGATCTTTAAAACAATCATGAATTCAATTCATGACCCAAACCGCTTATAAACCGAACCGACATGATCCAAACCGTTCATAAACCGAACCAATTGAATTGTGTAAACCCTCTACTAAACCGGCCCATTTCAAACTGAACCGACATGATTCGCACCGTTTATAAACCGAACCGATATTGACCCGGGTAAATCCGCCCCTAAACCGACCCATTTCAAACCAAACCGGCTTGATCCAAACCGTTTGTAAACCGAACTGACATTGACCCGGGTAAACCCGCCCCTTAAACCGACCCGTATCAAACCGAACCGACATAATCCGAATCGTTTATAAACCGACCCGCTTATGACCCAAACCGAATTTAAACCGCAAAGAAATAAACCGAAACCAAACCGAGCCGTGACTAACCCAAACCGAACCAAACCGACCCGCCAGCTAAACTAAACCGTTTCAATCCGAACCGCTTCAAACCGAAACCGACTCAAACCGAGGTCAAACCGAACTGCCAGACCGAAGTCCCACCCCTAACCCCATAGTATGATGTTCTATGAACCTTCAACAAAATAACACCCTTTTTTCGTATTTTGTTCATTTTAATAACCATGAATTCTATTAACAAGCTTAAATTCTTTTTTATATTTTCTTTGTTATTGGGCCTGACCCAAGCTGACCCACAACCACTTCAAGATTACTGCATTGCAGACACAACGGCCCAACCTTGTTCTTTCATGAATGGCCAACCGTGCTTGAATCCGGAACTTGCTAGCCCAACACATTTTGCAACTTCGGCCCTATCAAAACCCGGTAACACGAGCAAGAACGCCTTTGGGTTTAGTGTCATCCTCACCACCAACCAGAACCTCCCGGGTCACCGGACTCAAGGCCTATCCATGGCTCGAGTCGATATCGCCCCTGACGGGCTTGTACCACCCCATGTTCACCCACGGGCCTCGGAGGTTACCACTTGCCTAAAAGGCGATATCTTAGTGGGCTTTGTCGATACATCTAATACAATGTATACACAACGGTTGAGGCCTGGTGAATCATTTGTTTTTCCAAAGGGGTTGATCCATTTCCTTTATAATGTGGACTCAAAAAGCCCAGCATTGGCAATTTCTGGGCTTAGTAGTGAAAACCCAGGAACCCAAGTAGTTCCAATTGCTACGTTTACTTCAAAGCCACCTATGCCAGATAGAGTGTTGGAAAAGGCTTTTATGATTGATGGACAAGAAGTGGCTAGAATCAGAAATCACCTCCAAGGTTGAAGTCCATGTAAATATGTATATCAATTTTATGATAATATCATGGAATTACTCAATTTAATCATTTTGAAGGGTTTGATTTTTTATTATTATTATTATTTTCTAAAATTCAAGAAAAATTGTACATGAGACAAAAAGCATTATTTCAATAAACATAGCGGAAATATTTTTTCTCAAAAAAAAAAAAGCAATAAAGCTGTAAGCAAAGTTATTAAAATCGGGATTCTACTCTGAATCAGAAGGGGCTATCAGAATCAAATCGTAAAATCAAATCGTAGAATTGTAATATTCTACCAACGTGCATAATCAAGACGTCAAATCTAAAATTAATTAAATATATTGAAATTATGAGTTTGAAACCTAATTATTGATAGATAATAGTTATTTACTCATTAAGCAATCAGTACTTGACAATATATGCTTACAAAAACCTATATAAACATGTTTTTTTTACTTGTAAGGATTTCTCTAGTTAAGAAAAATATATAAAATCAGGTAAAATAGTAAATTGAATCGTATGATATACATGAATCGTAAAATCGTAAGATTCTAAGATTTAAATCGGGATTTTAATAACAATGTTGTATGTAATCTTGAAGTATCAATTGGTAGGTGGATGAACGATGATGATAAATTGATGGTAATGAATTTGTATGTAATATGTTATTCGGAAAATAATTACATTATGACAAACTTGTATATCATCATAATTTGAAATAGGTAATGATATCACTATATTACACTACTAAAATTCGGCCAAATTGCGACTGTCTCTGACGGTCGCAGATTATAGTAAAAACGGTCGCAATTAGTAATTGTGACCGTCAACGGTCGTAAGGTGGGGGTCGTTATTCACGTGGTCGCAGAAAATCTTTATTACGACCGTTTGACGGTCGCAGATTATTTGCGACCATTTTTATTATTTTCAACGACTGTTTAGAAAACGGTCGCAAAAATTAAAAATTGCGACTGGTTATGTCAGCGGTTGCAATTTTTGGAATTAGCGACCGCCATAAGCCGTCGCTAAAATTTAAAAAAAAAAACAAAAAAAAAAAAAAAATCGCACTGCTGTTTTTCGCATCCAGCCTCACCAACCATTAAAACCACCTTTACCCACCACCACTGCCAACCCAAACCCCACCTTTACCCACCTCTTCTGCCTACCCTAACCACGAAACCCCACCACCGCTCACCTGAAACCACCTAACCCACCACCACCGCCAACCCAAACCACCTTTACCCACCACAACTCCTCACCCTAACCAATAAACCAACTACCGCTCACCTGAAACCACCTCAACCCAACGCCGCTCACCTAAAACCACCTCAACCCAACGCCGCTCAGTCGAAACCACCTCAACACCACTCACCCGAAACCACCTCAACCCAACGCCGCCCACAAAAATTATAAAAAATTAAGAAAATTACCCACAAAATCAGAAATAAAATTATACAAATTACATAAATTTACCCAAAAATCAGAAATAAAACAATTATATAGATCTTTCAAAAATTATAAACTAAAATTACAATAAACAACACAAATCAGAAATAAAACAATAATATAGATCTTTCAAAATTAAAAACTAAAATTACAATAAAACAATTATACATAATCAGAAATAAGAAACAATAAATCTAGATCAACAATATAACCTAAATTAATTATCAGATCTAGAAAACCTTGACTTCTCTTAGGCTTGTTCTTGTGATGGTGGAGGTCTTGTTACAGTGTGTGGTCGTGACGGTGGCAAGCAGCGTGGAGGAGAGGGAAATTGCCTGCGAAGCTTCCGATTTGAGCCAAATCTTGAATGAGCAGCGATTTCCGGCTTCTTATTCTTCAATTATCAAGTGCCTTGCTTCATTTTCGGAAGTGAAAGAGTAGAATTAGGAGGTGAGAGTGAAAGAGGAGGGGCGTGAGAAGGATAGAGTGGAGATAAGGAAAATGGAGGAAGAGGGTCAGCTGAGAAGAGAGATAGAGAGAGAGAAGGGGGGGGGGGGGGAGCGGATGTTAACCAAAAAAACAAATTAGGGTTAGTTTGGTGGGAATCTTAAGCCCCTTATATACCCTATTTTAAAAATTAATAAATAAACAATTACGACCGCTGAAACGGTCGCAAATTGTTATAATCTGCGACCGCCTTATAAACGGTCGCAAATATTATAATCTGCGACCGCCTTATAAACGGTCGCAAATATTATAATCTGCGACCGCATTAAGAACAGTCGCAAATGGTCGCAAATTGCAACCGTTTCTATAACGGTCGTAATGTTCGCAATTTGCGACCGTTTTTTGCGGTCGTAATAGAATTGTTTTTATTTAGAATTATTTTTAACATGTATATTATTTTAAAGAAATTTTTTAATACCTTTGCGACTGTTAAATAGCCTAAAAACGGTCGCAAATCTGCGACCGCCTTAAAAACGGTCGTAAAAAAACGGTCACAATTTGACCGAATTTTAGTAGTGTTAATTGTTAGTCATGCAGAAAATATTAATTGAACATGTTTTATGCTTTTCTAGTTTTTTAAAACCCTTTTGGACCATTTGATGCAATGTACTCCCGTTTTATATTTTTTGTAACTTTAGGGTATTATTTGTGAGATACTCCCTTCGTCCCTTTTTTACATTCCTGTCTGTAAATTAAAAGGGAATTAAGGAACTAAGAATAAAACAAATAACAATGAAAACAAAACACAATAGGAAATACAAAACATTAAATGATGTCTTTGAGTAAAACAAATATAGATTAATATTTAATGATGACATGTCATCAATCCTTTGTAAAAAAAAGGACCAATAACATGCTTTTATTGGAAAATTAAGAACCAATCATATTCATTTAAATTTAGGCACAAGGATTTTGAATTTTATTAGGGGAAAAATAAGGGTGAGAATAGGAAAGTAAGTGTGAGCATTAATTACAAAATAGAAAAAGAGGGATAATTTGGGATATTTAGAAAAAAATACTTTCTAAAAAAGGAAAGGAGGAATGTAATTTTGAAATACCCAAAAAGAAAAGCAGAAATGTAAATAAGAAACGGAGAGAGTATAAAATATTCCAAAATTGCAGAATATATGAAAAAGGGTAGTAATATATGTCCAAATGTCCACCCTCAAACTTAAAGCTATTGGTAAAAGGTAACAAATTAACAGCTAAGGAATTAAATTGACAGTAAGTATTAGCTACTATATCATGATTCTTACCATTCATTGCAAGATCCTTGTGATTGTTCCTAGTTTAAGGAGATTCATTACACATTATAAAGGTGTCCACGTTTACAGAATTGCAACGGAAATTAATAAACAAAATCACGTATGTCATGATGAAATCAAAGAAAATTAGAAACTAATCAAACCCCAAAAGACTGTAACTCCTATTATTCCTATACATGAACATTGCCAAGGCATCGTTACAATTAAAAAAACTGAATTATACCTGTACTGTTCAAATATTTTGTTTTACCAAACAGGCAAACACCACATGCTAGATGGGGCCTTCAAATATGATAATGCAACTACTAAATTTTAAAAAATGTACAAGCTATTACTCTAATTAATGATTTAGTGCAAACTGCCACTTTTAGAAAAATGAACAAGCAAATATGATAATGCAACTCCGAAGTAAGGAAATTGGACAAATATTTAAAAACGGTCGGAAATAAAAAGTGGACCAAGCATTAAAAAATAAAGACAGTACATGTTAAATAATATATATATATACACTACAATGTTATTAAAATATACCCCATAGTTTACAAACTCCAAAGAAAAAAAAAATAATTAGATGGAGGAAAAACAGCTAAATATATTGATGTATCCTTGGATAGCCATGGGACATATAACTCCATATTTTCATTTAGCAATCAAACTTACTGAAAGAGGCCACAAAGTCACTCTCTTGCTCCCTAACAAGGCTAAACTTCAACTACAATCCTTAAACCACAATTATTCACCCCTTTTGACCTTTCACACAATCACCATTCCTCAGGTTGATCCCCTTCCTCCGGGGACCGAAACCGCCTCCGATGTCCCCTTCCACCTCCACACCCACCTCGCCACCGCTTTTGACCTCACTCGTCCTCAGGTTGGGTCAATTGTCTCTACCCTACAACCCGACCTTGTCTTTTATGACTTTGCACATTGGGTCCCGGAGGTTGTATCCCCCGGGACCAAGTATGTGGTCTATGTTGTGGTTTCTTCTGCGGCCTTGGCCTTTGGTATGGTCCCGTCTAGGGACCCACCAAAGGACAGGGCCGCAATTGAGGAAGACAATTGTGTTGTCAATGTACCTCATGGTTACCCTTCAACTAAGGTTGTCTTGGAGCCGAGGAGGATGCTAGGCTTGTACGTGCCTTTGGGTGAAGGGCTCACTTTGTATGATCGAGTCACCACCGCGTTAAAACGTAGTCATGTCATTGCTATCCGTACTTGCCAAGAGACCGAAGGTAAGTATTGTGATTACTTATCTAGCCAGTATAATAACAAGCCTGTCCTCTTCTCGGGTCCAGTCCTCCCGGACCCCGAGATAGAGGGAGAGTTGGAGGGTCATTGGGCTAAATGGCTCAACCAATTTCGCCCCAACTCATTGGTATACTGCTCCTTTGGAAGTCAATTTGTCCTTGAGGTGGCACAATTCCAAGAACTCCTCCTCGGGTTGGAAATGACAAATTTACCCTTTTTAGTAGCCGTCAAGCCCCCCACAGGTTGTGCTACCGTGGAGGAAGCGTTCCCAGAGGGATTCGTCGCGAGGACTAAGGAACGAGGCGTGGTCACGGGAGAATGGGTGCAGCAAAGACTAATACTAAATCACGCGTCGGTTGGGTGCTTTGTGAGTCATTGTGGGTTCGGGAGTATGTGGGAGTCTTTGTTGAGTGAAAATCAGATAGTGTTAATACCACAACTTGAAGACCAAGTCTTAAACACTAAGATAATGGTTGAGGAATTGAAAGTGGCTGTGGAAGTTGAAAAAGGAGAGGATGGATCATGGGTTTCAAAAGAGAGTTTTTGTAACGCAATTAAATGTGTGATGGATGATGGTAGTGAAATTGGTGGGTTAATAAAGAAAAATCACATGTTATGGAGGCAAATATTAGGTGATCCAAAGTTCATGAGTGGTTACATTGACAAATTCATCAAGGATTTGCAAGGTCTTGTTGGTTGACCTTTAGTTGCTTGTTCTTTTGCAATTAAATACATGTTTTATGATTATTATGAATCAATAAGCTGTGTTTTTACATTAGATTTATGGTTCAAATTCCTATTCCTGCTTATAAATCTTGTGTTGTGATCTTATTTGATTTTTTTTTTTTAAAAAAACCATGTTTTTTCTTATTTTTAAGAAAAATGATACAAGAACCTAAAAAGGGAAATATTAAAGAAAAATTAACAATAATTACACCGACCTGCACATAATTTTGTCATGAATTTTCAAATTAATTTCATTTTAGGAAGTATATTTAATGCTTATATAGGGCTACATATGAGGCCTTCCAAAGGGAGGTTTGATAGGTACTTGTATATACATATCAAGGGGCATTTGAGACATTTCGCATGAAATTTACCCATCTCTCTCCTTCTTTTCTCTCACCCCCACGTGCTGGATTTAAATGTACCATTGGGTGATTAATAATATCACTAGATGATCAAATAGTATCACTGAACATTCAGTGGTACTATATATTCATTCAATGGTACTGTATATTTATTTATGGTACCAACTACGTATAGAAATAATATCACTACATATTCAATGATATTATATAAGCTTTTAGTGGTACATTTAAAAATTGGTCCCACTTGCCAATCTCTCTTCTCCTTTCTCTCATTCCCATGTGCTTACAATACTTTTTAATATTTTAAGGTTTGATATGTATTTGCAAATACATATCAAACCTTCATTAGTACTTCCTCGGCTACATATAACATTAGCCTATTTTTAATCATTTAAGTTCTTATGTTACACCCAAAAGAATATAATACTTAAATTCATATTATTGAAGTACAAGTACTATGTGCTTTTGTGAAGTAAACAATGTTGTAATTGATTAATAGAATTACTTAAATTCATATTATTGAAGTACAAGTACTATGTGCTTTTGTGAAGCTAAACAATGTTGTAATTGATTAATAGAATTACTTAGCTTTATATAATATACGAGTCATGGAAATTGCTAAGAATCTACATAAAATAGCTAATAAATTCAGGTAACAAATAGCCTTGACAACTTTTAAAGCGTGGCATTCAAGCTCGATGTCGCCACTAAAAATGATTTATAGTAGACTAAGTCCCTATGATGCATAATTTATTTGTATTTTTTTTTAAAAACAAATATTTTTTGCATCTATGTGATGAAATTTGTTATTTTATTTGTTGTATAAATGTTAATAAAATATACACAAATTTTTATATGTGGCTAGCCACATGGTGTGACCACTTCACATAATCAAATACAAAATAATTAATTAAGTAATAGGGGGTTACGGTGATGAGCACATGGGGTTACCTTAACGCGTATGTAGGTTACTTAAATGAGAAATAGGAGTTACTCTCTTAAATAAGTATAATTATTCTTTCATTTTTTAAAACAAAAGATTAGGGGATACTCGAATGAACAAATGGAGTTACTTATTTCAAAATTACTTGAATTTACTCGTATAATAAATTTGGGTTACTTTTATGGACAACATGAGAAGACTCTTATGAAAAATTAAGGTTACTAATACATATAAATATAAATAAAGATTACTCTTATAAAGTAATGTGGGCACAATGGGCCACGTACAAGACTCATATAAAATATAGGATTACATAATGTTTTCAAAGAGAAAAAAAAATTCACATAAAACACAAGGTAACATGATATAATTTCCCTAAAAGTAAATGGTGGAAGGCTTTTGGATGTCATTAATCTAGGTTGACGGTAACATAATAATAACATCTTAAGTGTAGGAAAGCATTTATAACGTTCAAAGTAAGTTGGATTCTAACACCATGTTTGTGACCTAGACCTTATGCTGGAAAATGAGGAAGTCCTAATGCATTGCTGTTATGCACTTATGCATAACAAATACTAAAGTACTCCTTTAAAAATCACATGGAAAAGAGAGTAATGAAGAAAGAGAAGATGTATGGGACTATATATACACGTAGTTAGTACCACTAAATATATAATATAGTATCACTGAATGTATATATAGTACTATCGAAAAATTCAATGGTACTATTTGATCACCCAATAATACTATTGATCACTATGTACTACTCTAAAATCAAAATATACATTACGTGCAATTATACTCTTACCTCTCCTTATACAAGAACTATGTAATTGTTCTTGCATAACCCGACTCCTTTAAACAATTTCTTGGAAAATTCAGCAATGGAATCGCACCTCTCAAGCTACCAATCACTTTGTCCTTTTTTAATTTAAGTGTCAGCAAATGTCATGCAATTCATGAGTGTATGGAAATTTCCATGCTTGTTAAATTTGCAAGCCTTGTGGATGAAATTGATAATTTACCCAACTTGGAAACATATTTTACATAACCATGAGGAGTAGCTAGAGGCTCTAGACTTCTAGAGGGCATGGCTCTTATTACCCCCAGAATAATGCTAGAAGAGTTTCTTTGCTTAGAAAATACTACGATTATATTTTATTCATTGTACGTACTCTATCTGTCTCTTAATTAGATGTCTAATTCTCTTTATTATGTGAGTAAAAAAATGCTAGAAACAGACATCTAATAAAGGGACGGAGAGAGTAAAGTTTGAAGGAATATAATTTACAAACCTCTTATTTAATTATAACTAAAATTTATAATCCCATATGACGCGTTAAGAAAATTAAATTGTACGTGACTCTCTAAAAAATCAGGAAAAACTCCTCTTTATATATGCTAGTTTTGTGAGGTTGTTGATAAAATTTTAGTAAAACTTTTTGGCTTGAATGTTTATTAACACAGTCATGTAATCCCTTTTAATAATGCAGCTTATTTAGAAATACAGTTAATATTATAGTCATGATAATATTTGTATATATATTCTGTATCCTTATTATACTAGGTTAACGATAATTGTAAAACTCTATATATATTGATCAATGGTACACATTCTAGATTGAGGAGTTTTTTCGAACCAACACATACGATATCTTATCGCTTATTTATAGAATAATGTACTTTTTGTAGTTTTGTTTGTAAATAAATATATATATGTTATTATTGACTTGAAATTATTTTAATTGAACTTAAAAATTATATATACTGAACTTAAAGTTTTTTTAGTAAACCAAATTATTTTTTACTAAATAACACTTATTTTTACTATTTTTCTATTATTTTTTAACCAAATTAGATACATATATTATAAATGGATCTTATTTAAAGAATTTTTTGAAACAAATTTTAGGATGGAAATAAAACTGAGTTATAGGATAATTATTAAAAGTTATGATTAATTTTGTATATATGTAGAGTCAAAAACCGACCCAAACTGGTGAATCCGAATTGTTTCAAACTATTTCGAAAAGGAACCGAACCGTTAAACCTTGTTATTTTAAAAACGTATACCGACCCGACCCGATTTTTTAAAACTTGAAATTGAACTTGAGAACCGTTAATGAACCGTAGACGTTATCAAGTCGAATTGATACAACCCGAAACCAAGAACAACCCGAATTGAGTACTTCCGAACCCGACAGCAACTCGACCCATTGTAAACCGAAACTGTTTAAATCCGACAAAAACCCGATAAATCAAAATCGTTTACAACTGTAACTTGTTAGGACCGAAACGCTTATAACCTGTAATAAGTTATGATCGAACCGTTTACAACCCGTAACTGATTATAACCAAACCGTTTATAACCTGTTATGACCGTACAATACTAAAATTCTGTTAAATTGCGATCGTTTTTCTACGACTGTAAAAAAAACGGTCACAAAAATTGAAAATTACGATCGATTTTTACACGGTCGCAATATTACAACCGATTTATGACCGTTTTTTGCCAGTGAAACGGTCACAATGATGTTTAAACAATTAAAATTAATTCTAAATTAAAATAATTCTTTTGCGACCGTTAAAAACAGTCGTAAGTTGCGACTGTTAAAGAAATGGTCGTAATTTGCGATCGCTTACCGGTCGCAAAAAGTTTTTTTTAATAAAAAAAGTATGGTATAAATAGAGACCCCAAACTCCCAAACCCTAATTTTTTATCACTCACATGCGCTCATCCCTCTTTCTTTCTTTCTTTTCGCTCTCCTTTCTCTTTCTAATCTTTCCTTTCTCACATTCCTCCTCATTTTCTTTCTTTCCTCCTCTTTCCTTACTCCTTCCTCTTTCCGTCCTACTTCTTTTCTTTCTTCTCATGTCTTTGTTCGCATCTCACGACCCTCCTTTTTCAATCCATTTTTTTTTTCATTCTTTCCAGATCTTGAGTTTTGGTGTCCTGATTTTTTGTCAACAAACAAATTATGGAAAAGGGTTTTTCTTCAACAAACGACTTATGGATTTCATGGTCAAATTCGACCATAAAAATTCAAGATTCGAAGTTTTTTTGGTCGAATTTGACCATATAAACCCTAAGAGGAAGAAATATTGGGAAAGGTAGGTTGATTTTTTTGCAATTTTTGTTTGTTTGTTTGTTTTTTATTTATTTTTTGTTTTCTATTTTTGTGGTTTTGTTTCATTTTTTATTTGATTTTTGTTTGAGTTTTTATTCAAATTTCTTTGATTTAGGTTTGATTTTTTTTTTTGTTAATTTTGTTCGAATTTTCATGAATTTTGTACATATATTATTCGAATTTCTTTAATTTGGGTTTAACTTTTATTTTTTTTGTTAATTTTGTTCGAATTTTCATGAATTTTGTTCATATATTGTGTGAATTTCGTTGATATTGGGTTTGATTTTCAATTTTCATTGATGTTGTTCGAATTTTGTTGATTTTATTAGTTTTCGTAGATTTTGTGCATTTTGTAAATTTTTTCATATTTTGTTGATTTTTTTTATTTTCATTAATTTTGTTTCATTTACATTAAATTTTTGGTGCTTGATAATTCTGTGGCGGTGGTGGCGGAGTTGATTTGGTTAGGAACTAGTGGTGGTGGAGTTGGTTGGGTGGGACTGGTGGTGAGGCTGTGTGCGAACTGTGAAAAACATGTGGCTCTGGGCGATTTTTTTTTTGTTTTTTTAAATACTTTTAGCGACTGCCAAAAGCCGTCGCTAAATTCCAGATTTGCGACCGCTACATACAGCAACCACAATTTTGAACATTTGCGATTGTTTTTTATGTGGTCATGGAAAATAATAGAAACGGTCGCAATAAATCTGAGACTGTTATTCAGTCGCAAAAATTACTTTTTGCGACTAAGTGAATAAT